GAAATCCCCGATCTTCAACATGCCGGCAACACCCGAGAAGTGCGCCTAAAGGAAGGGATCATTGTGGACGGGTACTCCCAAGCAACGAACACCGTCTACCAGTTCCATGGCTGCTACTTCCACGGGTGCGAGAGATGTCACTCCGATCAGACGGCTGCGCTGAAGGGCGATAAAACGGACACGATGGGAGTGCGTCGCGAGAAGACTGAGGCGACGTCAGTACGTATTAGGGCCGCAGGTTACAATCTCGTGGAAATGTGGGAGTGCGACTTCAAGACGTACCTCATTAATAATCCGGATATAGCCGAATTTTTGGAAAACCACAACGTGGTAAAAAATGAGCCCCTAAACCCCCGAGACGGTTTCTTTGGCGGACGTACGAATGCCGTCAAGTTGTATCACAAGACCGAAGGCGATGAAGTGATAAGGTACTTGGACGTCTGCTCCCTGTACCCCTACGTCAACAAGTACGCAAAATACCCTGTAGGCCACCCGCGCGTACTTGTAACCCCCGAAGAACTTCGCACCGTCAATCTTAATTCCGTGGAAGGCATAATGAAGTGCACGGTTCTGCCGCCCCAACACCTCTACCACCCCGTGCTTCCATACCGTTGCCACGGCAAGCTCATGTTTCCGCTATGCCGCACATGTTGCGAAACGATGGAGCAGGATGAGTGTGAGCACTCTGAAGAAGAACGGAGGTTCAGTGGCACATACGTAGCCGATGAACTCCGTAAAGCCATTTCCTTGGGGTACGTAGTGGAGGACATACAAGAAGTATGGGAGTACCGTACCACCAAGTACGATAAGGCTACAAAGAGCGGGGGATTATTCACCGGCTACGTCGACAACTTTTTGAAGACGAAGCAAGAATGCAGTGGGTGGCCATCCTGGTGTGTTGACGAGGAGGCCTGTATGCAGTACCTAGCCGACTACATGGAGCACGAGGGGATCCAACTCGACCGGTCCAAGATTGCGGTGAACGCAGGGCTTCGCTACATTGCCAAACTTTTCCTCAATTCGTTTTGGGGAAAGTTTGGACAGCGCGACAATCTGACGAAAACCGCAATTGTCTCAGAGCCTGAGCAGTTTTTCCAAATGCTCACTGACCCGGCCGTGGAACTCAACTCGATCATTCCCGTGAACGACGAGACCCTCATCGTCAACTGGACACTCCCCGAAGAAGCCGTCGAACCCCTGAGGACCACCAATGTGGTGTTGGCAGCTTATACAACCGCCCATGCCCGCCTAAAACTCTACAGCTATCTCGAGCAGCTGGGTGAACGAGTCTTGTACTTTGACACCGATTCAGTCATCTTCACGGAGAACCCCGGAGAGTGGTCACCAGCTTGCGGCAACTTCTTGGGAGATATGACTGACGAGGTGGAATGCTATGGCCCCGGCAGCAGAATAGTTGAGTTTGTGAGTGGTGGACCGAAAAACTATGCGTTCAAGGTGTTTTCCCCAAGTACTAACAATTATAGTGTAGTGTGTAAGGTTAAGGGCATCTCCCTAAATTACAAAAATAGTGCTGTGGTGAATTTCGAAACAATCAAGGACGCCGTGTTGAACAATGCCCCAGAGACTTTTGTGGAGACTGATCGTCGTATAGCCAGGACTTGTACATACGACGTCATCTCCAAGCCTGAGAGGAAGCGCTATCGTGTCGCGTACACAAAGCGTCGCCGCATAGCTGTAGGCTGCGACACACTACCGTATGGTTATAAGAAGTAATTCTTTTTGATAGTTACTGTACATATTTAATTTTAAGTTGTACATATTAGTTTTTAAGTTTGTAAATACGTTCTGTGGACTAGGCCTACAGGGGAACACCACGTTAAAAAAAACGCGCCTTAACTCTACCTCCTGGGTGGTGTGGAAACGGGTTTGTATTGTATATTTTAAATTGTAATTTGCGCTTAATTTTTGATTGTAATGTTTTTTTTTTTGTTAATTGTTGCACCCTAATAAACATAATTAAAACTTGTTCATTTTCTAACTTCTATTTCAGAATAGGTAAAAGAGGGACGCAATGAGTAAGAGAGAGAGATAGACGCAGTGAGTAAGAGAGAAAGATAGAAAAAATTTCAAATTTCCAGCCCTTGGCGGCCATTTTGTTTTTCCGCCATTTTGTTTTCAATTAGAGTTACCTGTGTGTAATTATTACATATGTGTAATTATTCTTGATTATACGATCAATTTAAATTAATCGATAAATTAATTAGATCAATCAAACCGCGAATTAAATTAATCGGACAGCGGATTAAATTAATCAAATCCACAAATTAAATTAATTAGAGGAAATTCCGAGAAATCAAACCGCGAATTAAATTAATTGGACCGCGGATTAAATTAATCAAACCGCGAATCAAATTAATTAGATCAATCAAACCCCGAATTAAATTAATTAGATCAATCAAAACGACGATTAAATTAATCAAGCCGCGAATTAAATTAATCGATTACGTCATCGCTCTTATCAAATGTCAATAAAGACCAAAATCCCACAGTTTTTAATCAATTAATCAAATCAAACTCCAAATTTCCCCCCTCCACCCTCGAAAACACCCCTCGTCCACGGGGGCGAACCCGCGAATCAATTTAATTGACCTTGATTGACCCCGCGAATAAAATCCAAGATGGCGGCAAAGTGCACGACTTCTACTGGGGCAAAGTTCTTCCTTTTTGTGATTAAAAAACCCCTTTTGAAATTTTTGGAAAATCTTAAAAAATAATTGAGATATCACCGAAGAACTGAAAATGTCACATTTCGTTTTCATTTTCCCTAGTTTTTTAGATATTTTTTTGACTTTTACTTTACCCAGGATAAAAGATATAGAGCCGGGAATCAACATTGAAGTATTTTGCCAAATTTTTCGTACATTAACTATATGATAAAAAAAAGTCGTACAATTACACGTAGAATTAAAAATCAAAATCAAATGTACCTTTTTAGCGCCCTACTTTGTAAACGCATGTAATTGAAAGTATTTCTAAAATGTAGAGAATATTCAATCATATAATAATACAAAAGCACTCTATCGAAAAATCTTATCTTCAAGGTATTAAGTTACTCCGCGCAATCGTTCGCTCAGACTCACCCTGTACACAACCACTGCCCCATTAAATTCAGAGACTTTTTTGGTTCTGGTGATACTCTGATAAGAAAAGAAAGGCTATGAATAGAGAAAAGTGGAAATGGTAAAATAGAGACATCATCAAATGATGTCGGTCGGTGGAATCAATACTTCAAATGCGAATATCTCAAGAACTAAGTGTCGGAAAAATATACTTACAAAGGGGAATACCTCTGCAGTGTGCCTCGAAAATTCTACCCTAGTTAGTAAACACATTTATTTTTTAATAAAAATCAATTCTTGGTCTTCCGAGTTCATTCATTAAGACGATTTCGGTTCGCCTGTCATTTTTCTGCATTTGGGCTCGAGTGAGAAGCGCAAGCGTTTAACTACATCCATTTCGATGTTTCCTTTTCAGCTAGTTGTTTGATTTCTCGCTCATTGTTCATTTACTAAAGCGTATTTTCTTTTAGCGTGTACATTTTATAAGAAAATACAACCAATAAATCAAGATTCACTATGTTTTGCTTTCCTGTTTTTAGACTTCTCCTTTATGAGGCGAAGGAAAAAAGCGGCATCTGAGGCATTATTAACGAGGTTTTAGCGAGTTCAAAATTTTGCGATGTCTGTCCGTCTGTCTGTTAGCAGGTGGATTCTTGAACAAATTTGTAGATCGGAGTTCGTGAATTAGCCATGTTGACCAAAAAATAAGGAAGGCCCTTTTGACATCTGCGTTAGTTATGAACCGAATTGTATGAAATTCAAAATGAGCATATAATATGCAATGCTCATTGCTATATTGGTTTACACATTATTATTCAATACAAGAATAACTCAACTGAAGGATCCGTGAGGGTTGTCTAGTACGTACACGATTTTTAAGAAGTTTATTAAGAATCAATGCAATTGCTTATGTGCATAATTTACTTTTTATGCAACTATTTTAGGAATAACTATTTTCGTCTCTAAAAAGGGCGAAGAAAATGTGATTTTCCACTCTAGTGAGGAAAGTAAAAAACAATTGCTGTCGTTAATCTTAATAATGACATTTTAAATTGAAACATACTCGTATCTACATTGCTATGTGTGAAACTTCATTATTGCATACGATAATTTTTCAATTCGCTATGGTCATGCATGTGCCAAACTTTGAACTCGAGTTGAAAAACTCCACTTTCTTCTCTAGTTGTACAAATAACTATTTTTCGTATAGATGCAGTAAAACACAAAAAATATCGACCCCAAGAAAAGATATTTTACGGATAATCAAAACAAAAATAGTGGAACAAGTAAGTACTTACACAAAACTTTACATTTTTGTCTACTTGTATGCTTAAATTTTGATGTGTGGATTAGAATGTCACGTCCAGCAGCGAATTTTTATACGTATTGCACTGGTACCGATCGCATTTAATTCCTTCATTTTGTGCTTAATCCTGGCGCAACCCCCTAATTAACCGCCGCGAGTGTCTATCCGTATTCTACCCGATAACAATAACAATATGTTATGAGAACGGATTAAACTAACAGATCGATCAGGGTTATATTTTAAAAGCACCTACGAAAGTGTATTCAATGCTCGTCTTCCTGCGTAGGTATATACATTTTTCTAAGATCGGTTTGTGGGGATGCAAGTTACTTTTCCCAATCGAATCCTGCGCCACCATTGAGCTGTTAATCTCGAAGTAGGTAGAGGCTGTTATTGTAATAAATGATTGTTAGGTGTAAGAGTGATTTATGTGTAACGTTTTATGAGAAATATTAGTTCTGGAGCACGATAAAATCTGCACTGGGCCAAGCCAAGCTAGTTAAAACGATAGCATCAGTTTCATACAGGCCAAATAGCTCGATCTCTAAAAACGATAAGGACATGGGCGCGCGCGGGGAAGGTTGAGCGATGCATGCTACTGATAAGAGTCGGGCCAGGCGTTATCACTGCTCATCAATCAGTCAGTAACTGATAAACAAACTCCGCTTGAACGCTGGGGGACCGCTTATCAGACTCGACGGTTTCAATCTATAAAGTCTGGCTTGTTGGAAATTGCGTTCTTCTGTTGTTGGATCCGATCTTCAAATGAAAGAACTCCACTGTTTACGTGTGCCTGGATTTAATTTATTTTTTGCCCATCTTATTTTTGTTACAATAGCTGTTTCTTTAGTGCTCTTCTCGCTGATACAAATCTTAACGTCCTACAGATAATGCCATATTCCCTGCCTCCTTAAACTACCTTCAAAATTTCGTTAATATACGAATTTACATTTAATCGATAGTTTTTATTTAACAATTCTTAGCATGAACCTTAATGAGACGATTTTGTAAAAGATTACGAGTCATTAGCATAGGAATTTATTTCTCACAAAGAAACCTATCTCGCAAATAAACTAAAACTTGTAGAAACTTTTCCAACTTTCTTTATCATTTAAATGCTCGCCGTTAAAATAACGGGCAACGAAAATTTTTAATCAAATTCTTTTTTTAAATTGGACCTGTATCCTAGCTAGCTAGCTGCCCACCCACCTACCTACCTACTTTTAAACGAATTTTTTTATGAAAAATACGGAGTACGATAACACTTCTCATCACAATGAGGCCAAGACAGACAAGTGTAGATTGTAGATATGACGGTACCGGCTGACTGTAATGTAAAACGTAGAATAAGATTCGCAGGATAAGATCATACGGCTGATAATAAAGCGATGGTACATATCAGTAAATGGAAGGCGATGCTATCTGATTTCCGTTGAATTTAGTTGATGTTGCAAAGGATTGCCTTTGTACACATTCGTCAACTTCAGACGTGAAAGTATAAATATTTTATCCCCTACTGCTTTAAAATGCTACAGTAACGGAGACGAATCACCTTGTTTCAATGAACAAAAAGTATGTGCCATATTTAGACATCATTTTAGGATCATAATGACAAACTGAACAAAACAATCGTTTAATTATAAATACAATTCATGTCAATCCGACTAGACTATTCCAATAGGTAAAAGTGCTGAGTTGAGAAGCCAAAAGGCAAACCTTCAAAACAGTGAATCCTATTCTCAATCATCAATTACTGTGAAGTTCCAAATTATTGTGACTATTTCTGTAAGTTTTGAGCTCATTTTATGGTAATAACTGCGAAAAATTGTGTAATGATTTATACCTCCAGTTTTTTTAGAAGACGTTACAGTATCAGAAATAACATTTTCTTACCGTATAGAATTTCTTTTTTTTTTGCTTCATTGTTGTGAGAATGTAGTTAGGGTTGTTTTAGGAAACGTTGGAATTTTATAAAATACGAAAGAAAAGGAAAAAAAATTTGATTCGGCTTAAAAAAGCACCAAATATATCGGTAGTCCTTTTTTTAGTCAATGTCATCGTATAGGTTGGTATAAATGCGCCGCATTTTAAGACTTCGCTGGCGCGAGTTTATTTTGTACAAATTCCGTCGAAAAGGGGGCATTTTTTTAAGTTTGTGTCTTCATTTTTTCGGTGTAAACATTCGGTTTTGGATACTGTGTGCTATTTCGTTTCGTTCCATGATATTGATATAGGATGACTCGCTCTGTCTCTTTTAATCGAGCTTTTAATCGTACACCAATTCTTTATCATTTACTTACATAAATAAGAAAGTTGCGTTTTCCGCACGCGCAGTAGTACCTACGATT